CTAAGGTTCAGACTGGATATGAAGTCCAGAAAGAGTTTTCCCCTTGGGTTTATCACAGAGTCTTTGCTTGATCTTGTTGATTTTTCTGGAAAGCTTGCGATTGTTGAGAAAGCCTCGATGTCAGCTGGAGGTTCATCATCAAAGTTAAAGTTAAGGTCCCCTGTTCTTGCATTGAAGTCTCCTAGAACCAGTTTCTCGCCGAGATCTGTGTTTTCAGCAACAAAGTCAATAATGGATTCGAGTGTTGACTGGGATGGTCCACCATTGCTGTTTTTCAGTCTCTTTTTGTAGGATGACTGCTCTGGGGAGTCGTATACGTTGATTATTGTGAACTTAAGAGTATCATCAGTGGCGGGGCAAAAAGTCACCGCTTGAATATCTGGATGGGAGCTTTTTACGGGCTTGAAGTCTCCTGACAGGGATCGATGGACCCCCACACATAGCCCACCGGAGCGCGAGCCGGTTCTAAGGCTATTGTAGCATTTGAAGTTTGGAAGGTGGAACTCAGCCTTCGTTTCCTGCAGGCAGAATATGTTACACCCAATGAGAAGTTTGACGAAGTCCTCATCATCGGCCTTGGGGCCCTCTTTGAAGGACATTGCGTCATGAATGTTCACATATGACTCGCTCCATGCACGAACAAAATTAAAATAATAGACCGAATAGAAATTACATCAAAGATCAATTAACAAGTATATTAATTGAGTGTATCATTAATTAAGTCCTCCAAATCCAGAGCACTGGAAGAGAGAGCTGGGTTGAGTGATAAGTGAAGAAGTGAAGAAAGCTCATTATAATGATTACGTGCACATGTTACATGCTAGTGGAATGAGTATACTAGTATAGATACACCTGTAGGTACTTCAAGTGGCTTTCCAGAGGCTGATGAAGAGGGTGATGGGCTTATATTACAGTATTTCGGTTGTAGTTGGAGCTAGGAGAGAAAGCATAGAGGTCCACATGAGAAGTTATCCGTCTGCTGAGACTGCTGTTGGCACGGCAAGACACTGATATATTTCACATTCCTTGCTGTTGGATGTTCTTCTCTTAAAAAAATCCGGTCACCATCCTCACGCACTCACTAGATGATTTAGTTGCTACAGGAACTGGCAGGCGATTATTAATCTTCGATGCTGGCTCTATTTTCCTAAAGAGTGGAGAAATGGTAACAGGCTTCACTCCCTATTCCACCCACTGACCGGTCTCCTCAAACACATCTAGCTCATACCCCAGGTTTTTCTCAAACTTCTTTTTCTTTTCTATAGTAGACCTGTTTCTCATAAGATATATGAATGTAACAGCAGGAATTTCATCCCCGACATGTTATATAATGAATATCTGTACCTATTAAGCTCATTCCTTGTAATTTTGCTCACAAATTGATGTGTTTATTCTATTCCGTAGCAGCTGTGCGCAAATATCCAACAGATGAAATATATCTAATGGATTTTTAAAAGTCACCTCATGATATCTGTCAAATAAGATGTACTTAATCTAATTGGAACCATCAAGGGGAATAAAATTAAATTATTGGATGCCAGGAACTAGAAATAAATATACTGGAATACTGTGTTTCCCTGAAGAGGTCTAAATCTAATTGGAACCATCAAGGGGAATAAAATTAAATTATTGGATGCCAGGAACTAGAAATAAATATACTAGAATACTGTGTTTCCCTGAAGAGGTCTTAATCTAATTGGAACCATCAAGGGGAATAAAATTAAATTATTGGATGCCAGGAACTAGAAATAAATATACTGGAATACTGTGTTTCCCTGAAGAGGTCTTAATCTAATTGGAACCATCAAGGGGAATAAAATTAAATTATTGGATGCCAGGAACTAGAAATAAATATACTGGAATACTGTGTTTCCCTGAAGAGGTCTAAATCTAATTGGAACCATCAAGGGGAATAAAATTAAATTATTGGATGCCAGGAACTAGAAATAAATATACTGGAATACTGTGTTTCCCTGAAGAGGTCTTAATCTAATTGGAACCATCAAGGGGAATAAAATTAAATTATTGGATGCCAGGAACTAGAAATAAATATACTGGAATACTGTGTTTCCCTGAAGAGGTCTAAATCTAATTGGAACCATCAAGGGGAATAAAATTAAATTATTGGATGCCAGGAACTAGAAATAAATATACTAGAATACTGTGTTTCCCTGAAGAGGTCTTAATCTAATTGGAACCATCAAGGGGAATAAAATTAAATTATTGGATGCCAGGAACTAGAAATAAATATACTGGAATACTGTGTTTCCCTGAAGAGGTCTAAATCTAATTGGAACCATCAAGGGGAATAAAATTAAATTATTGGATGCCAGGAACTAGAAATAAATATACTAGAATACTGTGTTTCCCTGAAGAGGTCTTAATCTAATTGGAACCATCAAGGGGAATAAAATTAAATTATTGGATGCCAGGAACTAGAAATAAATATACTGGAATACTGTGTTTCCCTGAAGAGGTCTAAATCTAATTGGAACCATCAAGGGGAATAAAATTAAATTATTGGATGCCAGGAACTAGAAATAAATATACTGGAATACTGTGTTTCCCTGAAGAGGTCTAAATCTAATTGGAACCTGTAGCAACACAGCGCTGAAAACAGAAAATGAAGAAGCTATAACATATAAGCGGTGCGCAGCGCCTACACCTAAAACCATACATTTTAAATATTGTCAAGATATTAAACGAGTTTTACGAGATAATATAGCATGCTGACTTCGTAGGATATTACGATTATACCCATGCCAGTTCCAAATGTGAGTTAGCGCCTAAACCAAAAGCAGTTGGCAAAAGGAGCCAGTTGCCTGCAAGAGCTTTACTAGCACCCGATTTACCACTTTTGAAGCACAAACTCAAACCTAAAACCGGCCGAGCACAATATATTAAACACAACGTAATTACCACAAAACCGATCAAAATGACGTTAAAACAGTCTTTGCAGGTGCATGTGTGCATTAAAACACCGTTGCTATGGAACCTTTTGGTTGTTACCTAAATTCCTATTTTTCATCATATTTGCACGTGGGCGGTCGTACAGACATCATACAGAAATAATATATGGTTTGTATGAGAAAGATATTATGTGATACTTATATGAACACCTTTTCAAAGAAATGAGTCTTTAGTCTCTTTTTAAACAAGACGTGCAGGTTGACTCTTGATTTCGATGCATTTGGTGTTACAGTCTGGAGCTATGTTGTTGACGCATTTGAACACTGTTAAGGCAATCTTATACTCTATTCGCTGTCTAATTGGAAGAAAATGAGCCTTTTTCAGGAAGGCCCACTTTTTAATAGCTTTTCTACCAAACAAGAATCGTACACAGGAATTTTGTACCTTCTGGAGTTTCTTTATGAGAAAATCGGGTAAACCATATGCATAGAGAATTCCATTGCAATAGTCTAGTTTTGAAAAGATCAAACAGTGAATGAGCTGTCTTGTGCATATTGTTTGAATACTTTTTATAAAAAATGTTTAGTGTTTACAGTACAATATCATAAAATAAAAAAGTAGACTTCTGAATTAGTAAGGAAGGAAAATGGAAATACCAGATAGTCTGGGTAAACAATCTTAGGAATAGAATGGTCCCAGAGTGAGCTTAATTTAGGGGCACGGTCGGTTATGTTCATGGAGGGTTGTTGTATCTGTATCATGGCATGTTCTGTCAGATTGAGGTGAGAGCGTGATGTGAGGGATTTGAGGACTGTAATGTTGTTCAAGGAGATCAGGTGTCCAGTAGGCAAGGCACAATGGACAGGGGTCCTGACTCATGCGAGATATCCTGACTATACGAGATATCTTACACTGTGAGTAAGATATCTCGTATATTTGGAGTTGGTGGTGTGAGTTGAGTAGGGGGTGTGGTCTTCATCTTGGTGGGGAGGTTGCAGTCAGTGATAGCTGATGAGTGGGTGACATGACTTTGATGTCGTGTTTTCCGAGTATCTTGCAGATAGGTTCGAAGAGGGAGGATGGAAGGTTAGGGAAACGTTGAGTGCATGCTCTCTGGTCTGTCGGTTGAATGAGAAAAAACAATTGTTTTTGAGAAAAGACAATTTTATTATTTATCACCAATTTATTACACAATCAATCAATAAATATATATCTGAATAAATAATATTCAACTAATGAGGCTAAGGACTGAATTTGCAGTGAACTTCGTCCTGAAGCAGACGTGTCTGACAGTCTGCAGTTTGTCTTCGAGGGATCGCTGAGAGTTGTGGAGAAAGAAGTTGATGAGGGAGCTTATGGTGGTGAGGTCGGAGGGAATTTTTGTTTGTAGGACGAAATGTTTTCAAGGCAAGGTGCATGTCGCAGGAAGTATAGAGGGACTGAACATCTAGGGAGGCGTGGTAGGAGTAGTTATGGCTTTATGGGATGTGTCGAAGCAGTGTTTGAAATCTGAGGAATCTTTTAGCTGGAGAAGATTCCGAGCTAAGGGTTTAAGGAAAAAAGTCAGACATTCTTATTTGCCACCCCTAGAGCTTTTTGCCAGCCCCCCCCCTGTAAGCATTTGGTACCCTCAATGTTTTTTGGATAATAAGGAGAAATTATAAGCCAAATGGATGAATTCTACCAAGGAATGAAAACTCCAAAGTTGATGATATTCGTTTCTCAAGCCATGCATTGGTTGTTTAGAACTCTCTTCCACTGATGTTAAGGAATAAGGGGGCAGGGGGTCTTCATGAAAATCTTTTTAGCTGTTTCTAATAAAATGGAGTGATCTATCAGTTGCTTTTGATCCCATCGAAAAATATTGTTACTAGCCAAAGTATCGCTGGTCAAAGATAGATATTGCTTCCCTCTATTAGAAACAATTCTAATGTTGATTTCGAATTGAGTTTCATAAAGACCACAGCCCCTAAAATCTCTAAAAATGTGTGTTCCTAGAGCAAAACTCTCAGTTTTGCTAGTACCTTAATTTTGCTAGTACCTTAATTAAGTTTTTCAAAAAAGTGTAATTTATTATAAAATTCTAACTTTAATGTTTTGAAGCAGATATGAATGAATTGAGACTGGAGGACTCTTGAATGGTGGGCCATGAGTGTGAAGGGAGCAATTGTTACTCAGGATGGAAAAGGATCTCAATGGGAATTTCTAAGTGTTAGTTAAAATTTGATTTTAATTTTGTGAAGATGCCATCACAGTTTTGTCAGTATTTACTTCAACATATTTTATACCCTTTATATTATCATTTGCATAATGATACAGTCAAATAGTAAAACCATCAATTAATTGTATGACAGAATCAACACAACGATACTATAAACACGATACTATACACATTAGAGATCTTTTACTGTTAAACCTCAATAAAAGTTATAGAATTGCAGATACGATTTTGGTTAAAATTTAATTTATGTTCAAATATAAAATATTATCATAAAAATTAACATTAAGATTCATTATTGATTTTAATATTTGGCATAAACAGGAAATATTTTTAAAATCTTCTTACTTATCTATTATTATTATCTAATTCTTCAATATCTTTTTCTAATAAGTTTTGTTTTATTTTAAGAACTTTCTAACAAAAAGAGCTAAGTATCAAGCATTTCCCAAATTTTAACTGTCTTTTAAAACTATCAGAAGCGTGCACTCTATGATTTGGTAAAGTTACGTCACCCCATTACATCATCCCGCCCTCAAGACGATGAACACATGTTTTTTAAAAGCTTCTGTTATTCAAACTATAATATTATCTTTCATATGTTTCACTTGTTTCTGCAAAGAAGTCGAAAATCGCATAAATATTGTCACTAGTTTGTCGGTTTGGTATGTGCTATAATAGCATGTGCAGCAGACCTGTTATCTGTTAAATTATTCACAATTAGTAACCAGAGTGACGTCCATCTCTGAACTTACCTGTAAAATAATCTTTATTGTCTCATGTTGAGTTATGGTATCGTTAGAAAATTCAGTTACATAACTCATTAGTGTTCAACATGAAGTAAGAATCACTGCCAAGTATAAAATATTATCTCATCACTTCCCCTATCATGAAGTATAAAATATTATCTCACCACCACCCCTAAAATAAAATAGAAAATATTATCTTGCACCACTGAAATGAAGTATAAAATACCATCTCGAGTTACTGACCAGTGTACATGTCAGGAATAGCTTCATTCTGCACGCAGTTACTCATCAGTACACTGTATAGTGTGTGTTGACAGGACGAGGAGTGTAGTACATCTCGCACGTTATTATATGGAATATTGTTAACTGCTCTTATGTTACTGTTGTGTCTTTATTTTCTTTGCTCTGGAATACATTTGCATTGTAGTATTTCATGCCTGGCTAATGCGAATGATTCATATTTATACCTTTTAGAGATGCCAATTAAAACTTAATTAGTAATTTGCTAGCAACTTTGCAGCATGTCCTTCGTCACAAGTTTGTATCGCTCTGTTTGTACGGTATTTTGTAGTGACGTTCCCTTCTTTGCTTAGTTGCTTACACGGTGTTAGTTGCTTACACTGTGTTAGTTGCTTACACCGTGTTAGTTGTTTACACGGTGTTAGTTGTTTACACGGTGTTAGTTGTTTACACTGTGTTAGTTGTTTACACGGTGTTAGTTGCTTACACTGTGTTAGTTGTTTACACGGTGTTAGTTGTTTACACGATGTTAGTTGTTTACACGGTGTTAGTTGCTTACACTGTGTTAGTTGCTTACACTGTGTTAGTTGCTTACACTGTGTTAGTTGCTTACACTGTGTTAGTTACTTGCACGGTGTTAGTTGTTTACACGGTGTTAGTTGCTTACACGGTGTTAGTTGCTTACACGGTGTTAGTTGCTTACACGGTGTTAGTTCTTTACACGGTGTTAGTTGCTTACACGGTGTTAGTTGTTTACACGGTGTTAGTTGCTTACACGGTGTTAGTTGCTTACACGGTGTTAGTTGCTTACACGGTGTTAGTTCTTTACACGGTGTTAGTTGCTTACACGGTGTTAGTTCTTTACACGGTGTTAGTTGCTTACACGGTGTTAGTTCTTTACACGGTGTTAGTTCTTTAAATAGTGTTATTTCAGTATGACTCACTCCAGAAGATAGTCAGTTCTGCTCTTCAAAAGTTTGACATTGAAGGAGATGTTGAAGAGTGGGCTTTGATGAACGAAAGTAGTCGGCGTTTTATAACTGAACAGGTTTGTTTTATAACTTATCAGTTAAAAAGAATAACATAACAGGTTTGTTTTATAACTGAACAGATTTGACATAATACTGATTCACATTTCGTTTTAATAAGATTAATAGATTAATTATATCATTAAAAAATTTCATTTCTATTTTAACCAAGTGGCCCAAAATATTCAGGCATCAATACTGGTACATCCAACCTTTAGCCTATCTATCAAACTCTTCATAGTTTATTCTTTAAATCTAGAAGCTTGATTATCGTTCGGTGGGACTTATTCAAATGGAATTGTTCATTGTTCATGTTACTTGAAGCAGGTCGTAAGCAGGTGGCCCCCCAAACTTACATCTTTCCATGAGAAATTAGAACACTAAGATTGGTTTAATTGTTTTATAATGGGTATCATTATACGTTTACCAATAGTTTACCAAGATGTCGTATTGTACATGATGTTGTACAGAAGAGTGAACAGCAGGATGACCAGAAGTTAATGTACATCTGCGCTAATTAACGGGTAATTAGAGCCGGTGTACATTATTTACGAGTAATTATTCTCTCACCGGAAATCAAATCTTGCTGGGCACAAGTTTAGTTTGTTGTGTCCGAACAGTTAGTTTACTGTACCTGAACCCTCTGTGTTAATTTACCGTACCTGAAGTCTGAACCTTCCGTGTTCGTTTACACTTTACTGTACCTGAACCCTCTGTGTTAGTTTACTGTACCTGAACCCTCTGTGTTAGTTTACTGTACCTGAACCCTCTTTTTTAGTTTACTGTACCTGAACCCTCAGAGTTAGTTTACTGTACCTGAATACTGAACAGGCTGAACTTTGTTTTCGTTAACTGTACAACAATTGGCGATAAGATCAAGTAATCGGTTCCATTAGATGTTCCGTGGCCGACAACTGAACCTTATATAACCTAATTCCCACAGTCCACACAGTTAACAGGGCACCCAATCAGCTAAATTGGGAGACGAATCAGCCTAAATGTCAAAATCATCACCTTACACATTTTTATGCTGAAGTAACATATATATCGTAGCATTCAAATAATATTCAGACAATATTCAGATAATATTCAGCTAATATTCAGATAATATTCAGTAAATATTAGAAATATCCCGTACTACTTCGCTCAGTGCAAGTAATGTGATTATCTTGACAAGTAATAATGATGATAAGGTGACTACTGACTAATGTGACTGGTAATGTATGAGTTGTAGAACTGACAGTTAATTAAGTTAATATTGAGGTGTCACGTGAACAACTTCCAGTCTATTGTAGTGCGGTCCCTTCCCGCCGGTTATATTATATACAGTTATATTTGTTAGTTATTTGCTCACTCTGTATTGCAATATAGTTCACCGTCAGTTCCGTCCAGCTCAGTACATTGTAACATTGTAATACTAAACCAAATGCGACATGAGCTATGATAAGTCACATTTCTTGCACAAAACGAGGTAATTAATTAAAAGCTTGGGGGGTAAAGAAGAGGCCTGGTTTATCAAAGTACCTGGTATAGAGAGGACCGGTATATAGGTTTGACTGTACAGTGTACTGTGTACATTGTAATACTTATAATTACATATTGTGCTACATTCTAATACATTCCATTGCACTGTCACGTTAGTTGATCCCTAAGTAGCATCTTGAGTAGCAGCCCCTAGTTACAAGTCAGTATTCCTCATCTCTCTCTTTGCCTTTGTGTTCATTTCCCTCCTGCTATACACTTTTATACAGTGTACATACCTGTTGTTTACACGTTACAATTCTGAGTTCTGGATAATGTTTTATCGCAAAGCAAACGGCCACTTCTCTGTTAGTATTTCTAATTTCGTTGCAGATACTCCATGTTAATTATTTATCGTGTTCTTGGCGTGTAAGCTGTCATCCCTGGTTTTTACTTTTTCATCTCAAGACAATTGTAGAATAATAATCTGTTCCCGCTCTTTTGAGTGGGTCGATAATATAATTGATGTTTTGGGGCAAAGTGAGAGTCTCCGTATACAGTGTACGTACCTGTTGTTTACAATTCACAATTCTGACTTCTGGATAATGTTTTGTCGCAAAGCAAACGGCCACTTCTCTGTCAGTATTTCTGATTTCGTTGCAGATACTCCATATTAATTATTTATCGTTTTCTTGGCGTGTAAGCTGTCATCCCTGGTTTTTACTTTTTCATCTCAAGACAATTGTAGAATAATAATCTGTTCCCGCTCTTTTGAGTGGGTCGATAATATAATTGATGTTTTGGGGCAAAGTGAGAGTCTCCGTATACAGTGTACGTACCTGTTGTTTACAACTCACAATTCTGACTTCTGGATAATGTTTTATCGCAAAGCAAACGGCCACTTCTCTGTCAGTATTTCTGATTTCGTTGCAGATACTCCATATTAATTATTTATCGTTTTCTTGGCGTGTAAGCTGTCATCCCTGGTTTTTACTTTTTCATCTCAAGACAATTGTAGAATAATAATCTGTTCCCGCTCTTTTGAGTGGGTCGATAATATAATTGATGTTTTGGGACAAAGTGAGAGTCTCCACTCAGTTTTTCAAAAAAATAGTTGTCGACGTTTCGGCCCACGCCTTTGTCATGGACGAGACGTTACAATTACGTTACATAGCTGCAATTTACAATGTTAAAAATAATCTGTTATATAACTGTTAATATCGTGAAATACCTACAATATTTTACAAAAATATATACAATTACAAAAATTAACGAACAATAACGTGAAATAAGTCTATGTTATTGTTTGTTAATTTTTATAATTGTATAGATTTTTGTAAAATATTGTAGGTATTTCACGATATTGATAGTTATATATACCAGATTATTTTTAACATTTTAAATTGCAGCTATGTAACATGATTGTAGCGTCTCGTCCATGACAATTATTGACAAAGGTGTGGGCCAAAACGTCGACAGTCGATAACCATTTGTTTGAAAAACTGAGTGGAGACACTCACTTTTTCCCAAAACATCAATTACAACTGTAGAACCTTGTTTGATTTCTTGATTTCCGCTACATAATGTGATCCATGCAACCTAGTGCCAACTATTTTGCCCCTGATTAGTGATAAAAGACAAAATATGTGATTACAATAGTGGTATCCAGGATAATATAAAGTGACATGTCACGTGCTATCCAGGGTAATATCAAGTGACATGTCACGTGCTATCCAGGATAATATAAAGTGACATGTCACGTGCTATCCAGGGTAATATTATGCAACTAAATTATCTTGAAGTAGACGGTAATAGTACCTTGTCCAAACGACTCAAGAAATCTCTTAGTTTCGCTGATTACAGACGACATGCTATCAAAGTTAGTTTAATGAGATGTTTAATGATATAATGATTATTACATTCCTCTTGTTTGAATCAGTTATCTTAATATACATTATATCATTGACTCAATGATATTGATTATTCAATCTTATAAATTGATTATCAAATATAATTTACCCAGCTGACTCTTTTCTTATGACTCTGAGATTGATTTATCGGAAATCGGAATGAACAAAAATTCCCAATTTAGCATAGTTATTTCAAGTAGTCAAATCTAATAAAAAACCAGGTGTAATTATTTAAAGTAACTGAGTACCACGAAAATGTTTTAATCTCTAACATTGGTCGTTGCACCCCCCCCTTTCCCCCGGCCCCTAAACCTCACCTTACTCTCTCTCACTTCAGAACAGAGAAGAAGAACTACATCCCGGCGTGGTGGCGACGATAAAGCGCTCCCCCGCAAAGCTTGCGGAAGACTCCATCCGCATCCTCTCCTCAAAGCCTGATCATGAAATCAGTTTGGAGCTGGAGAATGTGGTCAAATTGGCAGAGGTTACTAATTACTAATAATCATCATTTAGATGATGGCGATCTTCACTTTAAATAGTCAAATTACCTAAGTTAAAAGTTTATAGTGATAAAATGTAATCTTATAATATAGTAGTACATAAGAGGTGTTTCAGTAGTCTGTCTCTATAACTTGTCTATTTAACAGTCTCTATAATTTCTCTATAACAGTCTCTATAACTTTCTATAACACTGAAGGAGTTTTCATACGCACACGAGTTTTACAACCAAGAGGGCGTGACGCAACTACTGGATATAATCAAAAGAACTCCGATATTTGAGAGTATGAACTGTTCCATCCTGGCGCTGTCTTTACAGGCTCTCTGCCTTGTTATGGAGTACATGGGAACAGAGCTATGGACCAAGATTCTCGACAATAATGCTATCAAGAAGGTATATTTGTGATCTCCCATACACATTACAGTTTACACACTTAACATAAGCTCGACCTAGCTTAGTGGAGTGCCACGGTGCTGGCACAACTCTGATATTGTATATTCTTGAATATATATTTGTAGCCACCGCAGTGAAATGTTTTGAGTTAAGGGTGTGTACGTTGAACAGTGTGTATGTTTACATTATATCAATACAAAATATACATAGGATGTCAAATGATGATTTAATATATAATATCAATCAAAATAAACAGCATCACATGTACTTTAAACACTGAGTTAGCATAATTCTTCAGCTGACAGAGATAATAAAGTCACGTGAGGCCCGCGAAAAGGTGTTGGGAGTTCATGACAACAAGATCAGAACAAACACAATGAGTAGCACTCTAACCAGAAACAGCAGTATCAGGGATTTCGACCTGCAGCACAAAGACAAGGTACCCTCCTCTCCCTCTCCCTCTCCCTCTCCCTCTCCCTCTCCCTCTCCCTCTCCCTCTCCCTCTCCCTCTCCCTCTCCCTCTCCCTCTCCCTCTCCCTCTCCCTCTCCCTCTCCCTCTCCTCTCCCTCTCCCTCTCCCTCTCCCTCTCCCTCTCCCTCTCCCTCTCCTCTCCCTCTCCCTCTCCCTCTCCCTCTCCCTCTCCCTCTCCCTCTCCCTCTCCCTCTCCCTCTCCCTCTCCCTCTCCCTCTCCCTCTCCCTCTCCCTCTCCCTCTCCCTCTCCCTCTCCCTCTCCCTCTCCCTCTCCCTCTCCCTCTCCCTCTCCCTCTCCCTCTCCCTCTCCCTCTCCCTCTCCCTCTCCCTCTCCCTCTCCCTCTCCCTCTCCCTCTCCCTCTCCCTCTCCCTCTCCCTCTCCCTCTCCCTCTCCCTCTCCCTCTCCCTCTCCCTCTCCCTCTCCCTCTCCCTCTCCCTCTCCCTCTCCCTCTCCCTCTCCCTCTCCCTCTCCCTCTCCCTCTCCCTCTCCCTCTCCCTCTCCCTCTCCCTCTCCCTCTCCCTCTCCCTCTCCCCTCTCCCCCTCTCCCCCTCTCGCTCTCTCCCTCTCTCTCTCTCCCTCTCTCTCTCTCTCCCTAAAGTTATATATTTCTTCAGTTAGGAGCCACTGATAGTGAGCCCCCTATGGCCCAGTACGCCCTCGCTGCTATTGACAGTGTTGTGAGATTTACTGACGCTGGCTTCGATATTATCTCTTCCCTTATCAAACCTGCTGATATCATCATCTTTATTACTGAGTCAGTACTTACAATTCTGTTATCTTTCATTGGGTATTATAATGATTTTTAATATAATATAATCCAAATTAACGCAAACATTTACATTTTACTGCCCTCTGTTGAGGTCTCAATGTCCTTGTAATCAATATTTTAAAGGGTATTACAAGACTCGTGTATGTGATTATCTCTTCAGCAGTGGTCAAATCTATTATCTGATAAACTCCACGCATGAACTGATCTGAACTAACATTATTTCAGCACTAACATTGAATGTGCTCAATACGCGCTAGCTCTGATAAATGCTTTGTTCGGGAAGCAGGAGAACAAACAGCAGTTTTATCACGATCTTCTCGAATGGAATGTTCGTGTCAATATTGAGGTCAGTTATTTTAAAACAATGGTATTAATTAATCAGCTGATTAATTAATTATGGTCACCCAGGCACAGTTTCATCATACATCGTATGAATTTTGCTTTCTGGTAAGGAAGTAACTTATCTCTAAGTGGATTTAGAAGTCTAGCCTTCAAAAGTATTCATACCCACAATTATGCTTCTTGTTCCTCAAATGAAATATTGGGGTTTTTGATTTTTTTCAAAAAAAGAAATGACAGTCCGGAAATAGCTCAAAGCACACCCAAAACTCTAGGAACATCATCCTTTTTCTGCACTCTGCAGAATTCTGCTTCCTAACAGTAGATATTGTATACCCATACATGGCCGACAGTTATTATGATTCTTTACGCAGTTCATATCGTCCGTACACTGTACACTTTACAGTGTATATTGTACAATTAGCTGGTCGTAAACTTGGTAGAGATAAGCTTAGCGATAACAGACCAACGTGTGTAATAGTTGCTGTACTGAACTGAGTGCTCTACTAAACTGAGTGCTCTACTGAACTGAGTGCTCTACTAAACTGAGTGCTCTACTGAACTGAGTGCTCCACTGAACTGAGTGCTCTACTGAACTGAGTGCTCTACTGAACTGAGTGCTCTGCTGAACTGAGTGCTCTACTGAACTGAGTGCTCTACTGAACTGAGATAGTTAACCTCCCTTATCACGTGATGGATCAGCGGTTAGCTCAGGGAATGTTGCTGGGTCACGTGATGGGTCACGTGATGGGTCCGAAAACCGTATAACTTCAGACACAACTGCTGATTAGTAATTATTAACACATACGTAGAAGGAATCATTAAACTGTACGTGCCTCGAAAGTAAGTTGATGGAAATAAATTTTATCTGGTATATTGAATAAGTTCGTTTTCAGAAAGTGATACGGACAGTGAGACCGGAACATATGGATATCTCTCACCACATCTCAGAGTTCCAGCACCTGCTCCTAGGATTACACAAGGACGCAGCCCTGAAGCCAGTGAACGCAGAAGATGAGGAACAAATGGCCATGTTGGAGCGAGTTAAGATACAGGCTCTCTCCGAACAGAATGGGAGCGAGTGGAGTGGCCTGGGTTTTACCAGCGTGAGTTATCATTTTCATGTATTAACAACAAACATTGGTTTTCATGGCTGGGTTCAACTATTTAGTTCACATCTGTAACTTCAGTTCTTTAAGCCTGCCCTCAGCGGGGGAAGGTTAGTGGTCTTAACCGTGCATAGAGGCCCCCAGCATATATTCCTACCATAACAATCGTATTGACGTATTTTGTAGATGTTCAAAGCTTGTTAGTGGGAGAACTGAATTACTTTGTTGTTAATGACGTTCTTAAAAGATGTAAAGTTGCTCGCGACTTACTCGATTACTAAGTTAATCCCTGATCCGTGTGAAGAATACTTTAACCTGAACTGTAAGTACTTCAGGAGTCAGGTGACACGGTGGAAGAGAGAGCAGCTGATTTCCAGGCTTGCCCTCCTGGTTTGTTAGCTCTGCAGTGTATCAACCACTTCGTACAGAAACACTACGACAGGCACCGGGAGGTATGTATCTTGTCTGTACCCTGAGTAAAAGTCCAGAGCACATGTGTTCTAACATTGATGTTACTGGTTTCTCCAATCATATATAGTGCACTCAAATTCTGCTTACTTGTGCTAGCCAGTCCGAGTATTTTCCCAGCTTAAACATTCTTTGTGGCCATTATAGATTTTATTCAAGTTTCCTTGTATAATTCTGTATTATTTGATGAAAGTTTCACCCGTTATGTAGCCTGACATGTACTTTGTATTTTCAGATGGTTCTAGATCAACTGAGCAGAGAGAAAGACCGACAATGTCCTTTTATACGCTCTGCAGTAGCGGTCACTGGATTGCTTTATAAACAGCTCAGAATTCAGAGAGATTGTGAGTTATTTTAAGGGCTCTTGTTATTTTGTTACAAAGTTTAACATCTCCATACCAGGCTCCTCGAGGAGGAAAGGAAATATGTACGGTAGAGAAAAGGGACACGATCCTAATCCCCTTTATCTGTAGATAAATAACGTGTCTCAAGCTTATACCCTATTATAAAAGAAATAGGGGCAATTATTGTTTTGCATCGTCAGCTGATCCAATGTTTGGGCGTTTCATCCTGCATTTGGACCGGAGATGTTGCTTTTGTTAAGATGAGGCGTGTAGAAGGTTGTAGACGTCGAGTTTATTGTGCTAACGATATAATCTTGCCAGTTTGGGTCACTTTTAGAGGTGCCTGGACTAATATTTGCTTTTCTATAAGTCCGTATTCTTGTTATGATTACTGTTTACACACCATATCTGACAGTTTCTTTATGAACTACACATTAAGAACTGGTCGAATATGTTCTGCTACAGGGCGAGGTCAAGGCAACGTGGCGACTTTCCTTCGTCTTATCTGCATTCCTTCACGTACTAACTTGTTGCGAAGGTCTAGCGAGAAATGTATGGCGCGGTGATATGTTTTATCTAGATTGCGCGCTGTGGGTGCAGTTAGAGAACTTAACCACGAATAAATATATGATAGATCTGGCCACGGAATTTTCCGCTACATGAAATTCGATTTCGCGTCCCTTCAATTTTATAGATTTTACTTCCGAGTTGTGATATTTTTAAGACAGCGAAGATACCATCCAAAGCTGGTAGCAGATTACTTTCCAATAGTTACATACCAAAATAATTTAAAGTCTGCAGAATTCAGAAACCATTTTCGGTCCCAGCATTACTTACTTGGGTTACTTGGGTTGGGTTCCGAGCTAGAGTGCTACCAGGCCAAGAATGTCTTGCATCTCCATGCCAGCGAAATTGATCAAAATTGTAACCTGATATTTCACATTTTTTGACTTCCAGCTTACACTGCGATACGAATCATAAGCACACATTTGTGTGTCTTACTGCCCTAGCAGCCGCCCGGCCGCCGGGATTAATCCTAATTCTTGTATTTCTAGATATTCACTTAGTAAAGTGTTAAGGCGTTAGCGTCAAGTCCTGACTTCGATCCGAACTCTCAAATCAAATAAAAACCACTCAGACCCAGACTTAGCGATCGGACCGACGACACTACAGTCCCCTGACATTGACAGTACTGACGGAGAGGACTGCTCCTACTCATATTGTGACGAAATGACCGACACAAGTCTCTATTATTCTTCTGATGACGACCAACTCGACTTAGAATTAGACTCTGACACCACGCCTGTCGCTTTAAACGCTCGTTTTGTCTTCGATCTGCCGGCAAGTCGCACACGCCTGGCTGTGAGCGACGCTAGCAGAAATACTCGCAGGACTTCTAGTCTAAGCAAGTCGTTTAAGAAGGCCAGGAGGCGAGTTGAGAGTCTCGGTACTGATAATGGGGGTACACGTGATAGACTGAACAGTGCTGGAAGTAAGATTCGGAACAGAATCAAGAACAAGACTCATTTCAAACAAAGGAGAGCAAAACTGGCTCAGGAGGGAAGCAAGCAGGCCATTGTGGCTCACTCAAGTAAAGTGGTGTGCTGTATTGTACTGCACAGGAGCAATCGAGTAAAGTGGTGTGTTGTATTGTACTGCTCAGGAGCAATCAAGTAAAGTGGTGTGCTGTATTGTACTGCTCAGGAGCAATCAAGTAAAGTGGTGTGCTGTATTGTACTGCTCAGAAGCAATCAAGTAAAGTGGTGTGCTGTATTGTACTGCTCAGGAGCAATCGAGTAAAGTGGTGTGCTGTATTGTACTGCTCAGGAGTAACCAAGTAAAGTGGTGTGCTGTATTGTACTGCGCAGGAGCAATCAAGTAAAGTGGTGTGCTGTATTGTACTGCTCAGGAGCAATCGAGTAAAGTGGTGTGCTGTATTGTACTGCTCATGAGCAATCGAGTAAAGTGGTGTGCTGTATTGTACTGCTCAGGAGCAATCAAGTAAAGTGGTGTGCTGTATTGTACTGCTCATGAGAAACCAAGTAAAGCGGTGTGCTGTATTGTACTGCTCATGAGCAATCAAGTAAAGTGGTGTGCTGTATTGTACTGCTCAGGAGTACACAAGTAAAGTGGTGTGCTGTATTGTACTGCTCAGGAGCAATCAAGTAAAGTGGTGTGCTGTATTGTACTGCTCAGAAGCAATCAAGTAAAGTGGTGTGCTGTATTGTACTGCTCAGGAGAACACAAGTAAAGTGTGTGCTGTATTGTACTGCTCAGGAGCAATCAAGTAAAGTGGTGTGCTGTATTGTGCTGCTCAGGAGCAATCAAGTAAAGTGGTGTGCTGTATTGTACTGCTCAGGAGCAATCAAGTAAAGCGGTGTGCTGTATTGTACTGCTCAGAAGCAATCAAGTAAAGTGGTGTGCTGTATTGTACTGCCCAGGAGCAATCAAGTAAAGTGGTGTGCTGTATTGTACTGCCCAGGAGCAACCAAGTAAAGTGGTGTGCTGTATTGTACTGCTCAGGAGCGATCAAGTAAAGTGGTGTGCTGTATTGTACTGCCCAGGAGCAATCAAGTAAAGTGGTGTGTTGTATTGTACTGCTCAGGAGCAATCAATTAAAGTGGTGTGCTGTATTGTACTGCTCAGGAGCAACCAAGTAAAAGTGGTGTGCTGTATTGTACTGCCCAGGAGCAATCAAGTAAAGTGGTGTGCTGTATTGTAATGGTCAGGAGCAATCAAGTAAAGTGTGTGCTGTATTGTACTGCTCAGGAGCAATCGAGTAAAGTGGCTGTAACGTTATTCTACATATATATATATTAGATGTACTCTACTGTGAGTCAGATTGTGCAGCAAATGTATGTAAACATAAGGCAGGAGATTTTTTCTCAAATTTGAGTACACTGGTCTTAGTATTCAATTGCGAATCCCTTAAGTCTACTATAAAATTTACTGTCTGGGACTATTGATTTTTGATACTGTCTCCTTACTCCTTAGCTTTGTCTCGAACTAATATACTTTAAATACTGCAACATTTGCAATAAATTGTTCCCCAAACGTAATTGATAATTCTTAAGTAAGGGTTAGGTGAGTTTCTGTATAGAAAACTTTTGCTTTCGTCATTTAACTGTCCTAAAATTTAACTTTCCTATTTAAATTTACAAAGTTGCTTACACATATAATAATACCTCAATTTTCAGATATAGGCGTGGAGATAGATTTCCTGCCGATTGTTTTCTCCCAAGACAACATATTCTTCGAGCTATTTAGTATAACAGTTCAGCTCTTCAACACTACATGGCATGAAATGTTCGCAAAAATTAGCGATTTTAACAAGGTATGTGATTTCATGTTAAGTTTGAACCAAAGAATTCGTCTCGCTAAATTTTAGTGCCAATACTTCTGAATTTGAGACCCTATATAATAGTCTCCTGATTTATTGATTATAGGAAAATAGTAGCGTAATACAATTTCCTTTAATTTCATAAAAGTTGACTTATTTACTTATAGAAGATATGATTAAACATTTTTGTTAAATATTTTTACGGTTTAGGTGCCGAAACTACATTTTGAACCACGCCGAGAAAATAATAATCGAACTTTGTTAATTTAACATACTTGTTTCAGGTTGTAGACGTAGTTAAGGAGCAATTGAACATGGTCTTCAAAGGGGAAAAGAAGATTAATAATACTGAAGATTTCAAAGGGGCACTTAAGATCGTTCCTTTCAGCAAAATTCAGGAACAGAGGCTAAAATCCTTGGAAAAAGATTCTCTACCTATCATTGTAACTATCATTTCAAACTATTATTCTAACTATTATTATATTTAAATTTTTGCTCATTGCATTTTTACTTCTTTATTTTCAAAAATTAAAATTTCTCTCTGTTACTGATTGTTATTTCAGCAATTGCGTAAGAAGTTAAAGCCGGAACTGCAAGCTTTAGTTAACAGACAAAGGCTAACAATCCTGGAGGCCGGTCAGTAGGGAAAATGTTCAGCTATTTAGCATAACCTATTATTTATTATGTAATTTCATTATTTTATTGATTTTTGTTTTATTGACTATGGGGCCGGTTAGGTCGAATCTCCGTTGGTAAAGTTATCTCTGGTGAGGTATTCAATGTAACCTTTATCTCAGGCGAGGTGTTCAACTGTCCGAAGAGCAACAAAAGAAACAGGACCCTGTTTTGTAGGCTCTCCTCTAACCACAAGACTTTACATTATGGTTACGATATTGTTACTAACGATAACACTTGTCCCCCTATAGACGAGCTGCCTGATAAAAGTGAGTATTATGTTACTTTGTTAATTAGCGCTGTGCTCATTGGTCATTAGACTGATCACTCAGCTTGTTAGTTTGAATTGATATTTCTTACTATTTTCGAAAAATGGTGATATCGCATTTTTGGCCCTACAATTATTTAAAAACATGCAAGTGAATTAAATGGGCTGATTAAACCTTCAGCGAGACAAGGCTAATTATTTGATGACAATTGGCTGGAAACATATATTACACCAGCAACCGTAACCTTGTGTAACCGTATAGTAACCTTGTGGCCTTGCTAATTCAAAAGTTAAGGGGGCCGGGGGGGGTCTTCATCAAAATTCTCTCGAAATTGACTTTATAGTTGTTTCTGATAGAAGGGAGTGATATCTACCAGCTGCTTTTGGTCCCATGGAAAAATATTGTTCCTAGCCGAAATTATCGCCGGTCTAAGGTCAGCGCTTATGTGTAATTGTATTGCGCGAGCGATTTTCAATCGCAAATTTTGAAAATCGAGTCTAAAAATCTATCTTCTCCTACATTTTTTGAGCAATCACCCTGAAACTTTCGGGATATGTTCTAGGGACCAGTTAGAAGAGATCGTTCAAGCCAAAATTTTGAGATAGGCCTTTAAAATTTTTTTATTAAATTTTGAAAATCTTGGACCTCGTTTTTTAACGATTTTTTCAGGTCCAAGATTTTCAAAATTGAATTAAAAATTTTTAAAGGCCTATCTCAAAATTTTGGCTTGAACGATCTCTTCTAAATGGTCCCTAGAACATATCCTGAAAGTTTCAGGGTGATTGCTCAAAAAATGTAGGAGAAGATAGATTTTTAGACTCGATTTTCAAAATTTGCGATTGAAAATCGCTCGCGCAATACAATTACACATAAGCGCTGACCTTAGACCGGCGATAATTTCGGCTAGGAACAATATTTTTCCATGGGACCAAAAGGAGCTGGTAGATATCACTCCCCTCTATCAGAAACAACTATAAAGTCAATTTCGAGAGAATTTTGATGAAGACCCCCCCCGGCCCCCTTAAACATGATAATATGAACGGTATTATTATCTCAACATTCTATTTCAGTGAATATCCATGATATTGAGGGTATTATTCTGTGGCGAGATATGAAGAACAAGAATAGACCCCGGGGATGGGTAAGTTAGAACAAATTGATTATTTCTATTTCCTCCCTGGAACATCGAGAAGGCCCGTGTTTGCGAGCAGAATATTGTATTTAAATGGCGGCCAGTGCTTTCTTTAGGTTAATAACATGATAACACGGCTTATAAAACTCACTGAAAAATAAACATTTCCAATTCTTTAGGATTCGCCGCTGGGATTCTCTCTGGAATACAATCAATCAACGGCAATGGACACACAAACTAAAACACTGGATTTTATCTCCCAAACTGTCGAGGTAAGGAGCTTGTTCAAATTAGGGAAACATTTTAAATAATTTTTCACTCGAATGAAATCAGCTCAAATAGTTTTTGTTTTCATCCAGGTGAAACAATTCAATCCAATTGTAAGTATACCTTACTCGGGATTATTATGACCGGGATAAAGTGGCGGGTTTAGGGTAATTTCGCCATATTTTTCCCGAACCACATTTTCACCGGTCGTTAATAAACCCGCCGACTCAGCTTTTAGGGTTCCCAAGGGGTATGGGTGCTCATATTTTAATCGTTGTCTTATATTCACTAAAGAAGACTATTGGGACACTTGTTGTAGGTTTTTCGACTTCATTTGGCTGAAATTGCAAAAAATTCACCTTTTTGCCCAATTCTTGTCATATATCCTTATTGTCAAAGTTGATTTAAATAGGCCAATTTTTAATTTCTCAGGTATTGACTATCTCTACATAATGAAATAGGACTCAAAGTAAAATTAACAGTTAAATTAAAACTTGAATTAATTAAAACTGTCAATAACATAAATCAGTTTCATCAGTCATTTATTCATAATTCTAAACAATGTGAACGATGCATTCTTTCGAAGATTTTCTACAAATTGAGTCATAATGGTTATTTGATACACGTAAACATTTAATGCTAATTCAAAACAACGAATTTTCTAGAGTGCTAGACTACCAACACGTTACTAGCAATGCGAAAATTTCTAAACTTGCTTATTTCTAATAAGGAAATTTACATCTGAGACAAAATTTTTGAATCTAAAATTGAAAGGTTGGACACCGGTAAAATGGCGACCGGGAAAATGTGGTGGGTTTTGAGCAATTTCGCCATATTTTTCCCGAACCATATTTTAACCGGTCGTTAATAAACCCGTCGTAATAATCCCGAGTAAGGTATATGAAAAGTTTTCCAAAATACGCGACTACGATAGTCAACAAAGAAGTGTATTTTAAATTGAAAATTATTGAGAGAAGACTCCATCAATGTAAATTGTAAACATCATATTATTACAGGTATTTTCTTATTGGACTGACGGGATAAGTGTCTTGCAAAAGAAGGATGCGTGTAACGAGACTGCTCAACAGCATCTCTCAATGTTACTTGAGATGGAGATCAAGATACGACAGTTGGATATCCTCGACATTGAAGGATTGCATCTTCCCGAGCATCCCCCATCCATCCCACCCATTCCTGACAACTTCAACTTTCACTATAACTTCAACTGAAGCCTGCCAGCTACACTTTATTTTTTAAACTTTCGTTTTGATTGTAGTTAAACTTAATGTATATGTGAAAATGCCAGCTTCTGCTTAGAGAAATTCTATGATGAGAACTATGAAACTGGTGTGTTTTCAAACAATGTGACAATCAAGTAATGAACAGTAATCTCATATATTTTATCTATTTCAATTATACGCATGCTCAAAATACTGTTGAAACAGCCATAATATAATGTTCATATTGCCTCACTGATTAACCACACTTTAATCATGTGTTTTTAAGTTTTAACTATGAGTTTGGTTTTATTCTTTATTTTACGTGATCTGTTTTAAGAGTCAAATCCCGAATCTTATATTTGGTCAACCGTTATACGCAAATATATTGTTGCTTTGATATTTCAATATACGGCTCATTTATTAGGATTTATGTTATTAGTATTTTACACTGAAATAATTACGTTGTATTTTAATGTTTATATGTTGTCTGATTTACCCACATCTGATAAACCATCCTACTAACGCACTGCACATCACTAGTCAGTAGTCACGTGGCAATATATCATACCACGTGACTATAAATATTCGTGACGTTGCACTGCGTAGTTTGGGGCACTTTGGATGTGGGAAGATCGTTTCTTGGAATGGGTCAGTTCGGAGTCGTCTCCTACAACTCCTACAGTATCGGTTATGCGAGCCAGATTTTGTTACACTGCCATTTTCCGTGACTATTATTTTTACCACAAGGATTTGACAGTTGTTTTGTAGACCGTTGTTTCTCTTGGTTCTGAAATTTTTGGTTGTGGTCATATTATATTTACCTCCCAGCGAAATTAATACAACTGGTACAACAATTCCATATTATTATTAATTGATCGTTGCAATTACTTTGTCTCACGTCGTGATCCTCGTAACTTCAATTCATTTAATAGCAGAAATCACGATTTGGGCATGGCCGCGCACTGAAAGTTAACAGGTGATACTCGTAAAATATCTGTTCCTGGTAGGTTGTAAACCTACAAACTGAAAGTGAATACTGATCGTGAATTGTAGATCATGAATTTAGAATTAGACATGATGTACATTGTACATGTTGATGTATGACGTATGTGTTAAGTTTAAAATATAATGAACATGTTCACAAAATGTAACTCGTTTCTGAACGCCGGCCCTTGCTTAGCTGTGAAGAGAAGTAAAAGTAAAACCATTGGATAATACAATGAAGTCAGAACACAGAATAAATTACTTTTTAATGATCGGAAAATATACAAGTTAAGTCTTGATTATCAATTAGTCTTAAAGAACTCTAAATATTGACTACGGAAACTGGAAACGCTGATATTGAAGATTTCAAATACTAGAAGCAATAAAACTTTTTTAAAAATTTACTTCTATGTCTTGTTGCATGAAAATGTCTACTTTAAGAAATTCAAGTTACAACTACAACTAACAATAGATTCTGAATAAATATGCAAATAATTTAATAACCGCAGGTCAATTTGAATGCTGCTAAACTTTTTGACTGTTCATCTTAGGTGTACAACTACAACTTAAATAAACTACTTAATTCTCATCGAAGAGCAAAGTTTTGAAAGTGTCGCATCTAATTATCTCTGCAACGTTCTGCTTTGCCCAACATCATGCCACGAACGTGGATCTCACAACTTATGCAATTGAAGTCTTGACCTTTGAGATTCGCGACCTTCATAGTGAATCCCTTCTTCTTGTTGAAGGATTGTTTTTCGTTCAGCTCGGTTTCGTCCATCATGAACTTGGCTTCTATCCCCTTCATTGCGCCTAAGTTTATGTCGTTTCGCTCTTTGTTAGCCTGGGAAGGTGATATTGAAATTAAATATGAGTTAAGTTCGAAAATAGCTGAAAAGTTACATTTATATAACTTTATATGACGTAAAGTTTATTAACAATAACATTGGTGCATAGCCTTGAAAAGGCAGGTTGCCCAGGCTTTCAGCCAAGCTTTAAACCTTTCCTGGAGTGAAAATATGAAACTGCTAAATCACGGTTTGGTTATGTTACAGTTGGTGAATTTCATTTGAAAACGAACCTTAGCTCTGCAGGTAATCTTTTTGTTGGAATAAGTCAGCGATACGGTTACGTTGAGCATTGCACTGTCGAAACATTTGACAGCAATCCTGTCAAAATCGAAACATTGAGCATTCATTCCGCTCATCTCCATAGCATCGTCCATTGGTATAGCTCGGCAACTCGAACTGAAATGAAGAGAAATTGTTAGTAAGGATTGCTGCATGACGGTTAATCTTAATCAATTAATACCATGAAACAAATTGATTGTATTATTTTTTTCAGCAGTGTCAGTTAGAGTCAAAATTTTCACCAGGAGAATATTCAAATCTTCACTTACCTTTTGGGTAATGTGTCATCAAAGTCGCAGTTAAAACCAGTCCATCCGAATCCTGGCATTTCTTCAGGTTGGTATGGCATAACTTTCATCTTTTTACTTGTAGGGATTTGAGCTCCGTGTTTGAAACCCAGAGTCCTGCAGATAGCTCCAGCAGCGTTGTTGTTGAAACCGTCGTTACATCCAAACTGCCACTTTCCTTCTTTATCAGTCTCAATTCCAAAAGTCTCCCTTGCCAGCACAATACCAGCAAACACTCGGTCATTGCTATCTATCAACTTCTTCTCTTCGCCAACGTGTAATTTGAACTCTAGCTGACTGTAGGTGGTTCTGGGTTCGCAACGTGGTACTTCATAAGAACCATCCTTTCTACACCAACCCCATTCACTTGTAAAGTCTTTGGAGTTGTTCCAATCCCACGTCTTGTGCATCATATGACCCTCATAACATTCGTATCTGGCTTTCACTGGCATCATCTCTAACATGTTTTTATATTCCTCATCCATGTCTTCCTCACCCTCCTTCTTGGCTATGATCTCTTCATCTGATTTATCGCCCTCCTTGTCATAATCATCCCTCAATCTTAATTCAACTGCTTTTCCATTTTCTATATAAGTGGGGATGCCACAATGTTTCATTTTTTCCGGGAGTGCACATGTAGGTAGCATGACATTTCCCATATAACAACCCGCTATATTAGCCACGCTCATGTAAGCTTCATCGGCTGACTTGCCTTGATCACTAATTAATGACATGAATACCTTTTGGTTTGGAGTCATGACGAAAGGTGGATAACACATGTACGCCGCGTATTTTGAGCCATCAGAATCTCCCTCCAATAATTTGCGGCCTCCGGATATGACATCAGGGAAGCGACATTCATTGCTCTCTTGAGTACAATGAGGATGTTCAGGTTTAATTTCACTTCCTTCACACCACACCCACCCTCCTTTTTCTTGGATGCTAGCAGGCAAGGACCACTCTTCAGTACACTCGTATCTTACCATGTTATTATTCTTCTCAGCTAGGTAACCGTTGTCAATTTTTTCGGGAAGAGAACAACTATCTTGAGTACAATGAGGATGTTCAGGTTTAATTTCACTTCCTTCACACCACACCCACCCTCCTTTTTCTTGGATGCTAGCAGGCAAGGACCACTCTTCAGTACACTCGTATCTTGCCATATTCTGATTCTTCTCAGCTAGGTAACCGTTGTCAATTTTTTCGGGAAGAGAACAACTATCAGCGGCTGCGTCTTTTACACAGACTGGCTGGTAAGTGATTGTACCGGTATTAGTATCACATGTTGCCCAGTCGCTTCCTTCAAACTTGCTCCCAGAATCACACTCATACCTGACGCCTCCGTCATGTTGATCTGTAGTTCGGTATCCATTAGGAATTTTTTCCATGTAAGTACAGACCTGGAATCTCTCACAGTCTGGTTTGAATGTTATCGCTCCATTCACACCGCAGTACATTCTGTCTTTACCATCATAAGCACGGTATCCTTCATCACATTCTACTTTGATACTATAATCATTCCTATCTTCTTCGTTGATGCTACCGTTATCAATAACCACATCGCTGAAATCGCACATTACACCACTTTTCTGAATACACTGTGGATACTTTACATTACCGTCAACATTGCACCTTGCCTCGTTGTGATCATCAACCATCCTGTATCCATCATTGCACCTGTACCATTGCTTCATTCCCATGTCGCCTTTTTTTTCCTTGACACCATCCGGGATATCATCAAATGTACAATCGAATATATTACATTTAGGTTGTTCCGGGGATACGATATCACCGTTGCACACTGCCCAGCCGCCAACTTCCCTGAGTTTTTTTGGCAGCTTCCAACCAGATTCAATGTTACACTCGTATCTTGCTTTATTGTGTTCTTTTTCAGCTCGGTGGCCGTTATCAATGCTGTCTGGGAGATCACAGTCATCTTCTTGCTCCATACAGTGAGGATGTTCAGGTTTAGTTTCACCTCCTTCACATTCGACCCAACCTCCTCTTTCTCGGATGCTAGCAGGCAAGGACCACCCTCCATCACACTCGTATCTTGCCGTGTTGTATTTTTTCTCAGCTCGGTATCCGTTGTCAATCCAGTCGGGTAGGTGACAATTATCTGGTTGTTCACACTTAGGCATGTAGGAGATCGTTCCATTTTTCCGATCACACATTGCCCAGTCACCTCCCTGCATCATATACCCTGCCTCACATTCGTATCTGGCATCGTTTATGTATTCTTCCATTTTCTTTCCTCCGGGTATCGCGTCAGGGAAGGCGCAGCTCTTAGACTCATAGCACTGGATGTTGTTCGTTTCCACTTGTGTTGGATCATCTTTTTTGCAACTTAACCAAGAGTTACCCTCCATTTCCATGTTATCAGGACACTCATACCGAGCACCTTTCGTTCCTTTTTCCTGGTCCAAATACTCATCTTCTTTACGAGCTCCATTAATTTCATCAGGGAAAGTACAAGTATCACCAAGAGCGCAACGGGAAACTTTAGCGACAGCTACTCGTGCACCGTCCATCTCATGGGTCTCACAGTAACCCCAGTCCGTGTCTCTCAGATAGAACCCATCATTACACTTGTATTGTGACCAGTAGCTTCCATCGTCTTGGCGACCTTCCTTTACTTTCTGTCCATTATCGATATCGTCAGGGAAAGAACATCGAGCAATACATTCAATGTTGTTATCTATTCTGAAACCATCGCTAGGATTGCATTCAACCCTCCTGTTGTAGTGAGCTGCCATGAAGCCATCGTTACACTTGTATACAGTGTAAGGACAAGATCCGCCATCTTTCGAACTCCTCCAGTCGTACCATTTCTGAAATATATCACTTTCAGGCCAATCGCACTCATCCTCAACACAGGTTGGGAAGTTAATGTTTTTATCGGCACTCTCCCACTCGCAGGAAGCCCAAGTTGAGCATCTCTCTGAAACGAATCCTTCATTACAGCGGTACTCGGCGTTCACATTGTCATAACTGACTTGGACTAACTTTCCGTCGGTTATGCTGTCAGGGAAGGAGCAGGTATCACACTGGAATGCCACCTTAGCATCACTTTCCATGTAGAACCAATTAGCCTCACAGTTGTTGCATTCGTCCCGGCTGCATTGAGGGTTTTTCTCTTTGATAGAACTCTGCATTTTACATCTGTTCCAGTCGCAATAACCTTCACACTTCCTCTTCACATTTCCGTTGGCACAGAAAAATTCGTCAAGAGCAACTGCAGATTGAAAATCGAACTCTGCCATTCTGAAACCTGCAGGGACTTCAAAAGCAAGATCTTTAAGGTTGTTTGCCACACTCCATCCAGTGAATGCGTTCATATCCTCAATACCCATGGTGTCCATCATAGCAATGCCAGCTTCAACAAAGGATTCAAAATTCATGGTTTCCAGATTGCCCAGTCTAGTCAGTATGGGTATGAGAATTGCTGATGTTTCAGCATTCATTTTGCCATCGAAATTTGCAGCCATACGCATCATATATTGGGATTGATCCAAGTTTGCACAGTCGTTGCTAAGGTCCGCTTCATCAAGATCATTAACTTTTTTGAAAACGTAGCAAATGACATCTACGATTGGTTCGCCATCTTCATCGTCATCTTCATCGTCATCTTTATCATCATCATCGTCCATTATACTATTGAAGATATCGTCCCAAGACTTATCCCAATCAGATCCACACAGCTCATTAAATCCCTTTTTGATATTGGCAGAACCCATGCAGATTATGTTTTGGATTTTCAGGCCGTCAAAATCTAAGTCATCGTCCCATATAGTTTCCAAGGAATTATCCGCACAAGTTTCCCTCAAAGCCTTTACTGCCTGTGCGACTCCGCACATGTTCATCTCAGGGGTAATGGACAGATCGAATCTGTTTTCTCCCAATATATCTCTTAGTCTCTCAACATCTCTATCACTCTTATCATCAAGCTTCCAATAGTTATCTTTCTCCATGCAGTAATCTTTTTCCATACCCCAGAATGGAGTAGGTTTTCTCCAGCCACAAGAGTTGCACTTCTTCCCATCTTCTCCCCAAGACCCGAAGGGACATTTCTCGCACATTCCTTTGTCGTTCAAGAAAGATCCCGGTACACAGGCGGTGCATACTTTGCTGACATCTGAAATGGATAAAACTCAATTCATTGAAAAATAAAAAACAGTAAAGAACAGAGAATGCTCATATATTAAATTGTCGTGTTAGACCTTTATTAGCCAGTTTAAACATAGAAAAGAAATTAATTACATAAGTCTACATCACAAGAATAGTAATAAAATAAGGAGGTTAAAATATAGGTTATTCTATGAAGAATTCCTTGTTTCTCACTGTAAAACGCTTAATTGAATATTTTAAATACGCTATCTGTAGTATAGAATTGCAATCTTACCTGCAAAGCTCACCCCCATATCTCCACAGCCGTCAAACATATTTTGTAAGCTGAATTGTCTGAAACAGAAAGTATTAGTAACGAGTTAGCGATAATAATTAACATCATACAACACCTATGTAAACTATTTATACATGCTTGGGATACATTCCAACCGATAAAAGGAGTAAAGATTAACAAAAATTCTCAAACACTAAAAATGTTTTAGTCACTCCAAGGATGTATTGGCTTTATGAAGGGCGAAGGTTCAGTTTATATAGCCAATTAATATGATCTTACATGTTATCATCGGCGAAGTTCATCATTCCATCCAAACTCTGAAAGTCATCAAATGAAAGAGAATTTTCTGCTTTGGTGAAGGTATTGACGAAAGCCACGAGAACTCTTCCTCCTGAGAACACTAGAGTTTACAGCAAAATTTTAATAAACCAACTTAACTGTATATTCAAAGTTATAAATTTTACACTAGCTTTGGTTATCAACTGGGATCAGAATTCAGAATAACGAACATGTCTCACTTAAAACGTTATTTATTTTCAATCTACCTAGTAAAGAACTAAAATGTGGTTAACAAAATGTGGTTAACAACTCACCTTCGCAGCTCAACAAGTTTAGTTCACACTTTTCAGATGCCCTGAAAACAACATTAGTCAAGTTCTGAGCTTAAACACGTGACTAAAAGAGCACATTGATAACTCAGAGTACCCCTATTAACTAATTAATTAATTATTTAATTAGTGAAACTGGAGCATGAGACCTAAGAAGAGCGGAGCCGTTTAGTTTAAAGGATTAATTAATTAACTAACCTTGTGAGACACGGCAACTTTCGTTCGTCACTTCGCTCAATAGCGTTCCTGACCCGTACGTAACCAGCATTAGTTCCGCAATCAACGGAAGATGGGACTGTGAACCTGAGGTAATACCTCTGCACAGTGGCAGTAGCTGCAACAGTTCCAGCAACTGCATCTGAAATTAGTGTCAAATGTTAAGAATGAGAGGAGTTTTGATATTTTAATTGGGTAAATTATGTGCGTTCATCATGTTAAAGGAAATATTAAAGCAGCTGTATGAGAGAAATCAACTTAAGTTAATAGAAGTAAAAAATCACGATATATTGCTTGGAACAGGGAAAAATGAAAAACAGTCAGCATTTTGTATTAAGTTTGATGATAATTAAGCAGAACTCACCACAAAACTGACTGTTATCTCCAGCGATTGGACAGTCACCCTTGAAGTAAGGTTCGAATTCCACCAACTCAATATCGTCTATATTCATCATATCGACATCCAGGTCCATGTCAAGTGTGTTAAGACTACTATGGCCTCCCACAAACCTGCGGAGAGTGTTTTAAGAGTTGGGTTTATCAACAAATTTCTATTTTATGGCAGAGAATTAACAGAATTACAAACAAAATCCACAACAAAATCTAGCAATTATACCTAAAAATGAACAAGAAAACAAAAAATGAGTTGTAATATCAGAGCTGGTCTTACTCTTTGATTTTGTTCAGATAAGGGCGTCCCAACTTGATGTACGCATTCCCCACACCTCGATGTGTATCAACCATGTCGAGGATTTTCCAGAATTCCCAGGCAAACTCGGTGGGCAAGTTCATCTCAAAGGCCATGGAGGTAACATCATCACCTGCAGCGTGACTGAAAAACATTTCAGTTATAGCAATGTGTAGGGGCAAAAATAAATTCACAGGTTATAACTATTTAAAAGGATGATAGAAAAGAATTGAAGGTTAAAGTTGTTAACATACTCGCACTGGTAGAAATGTCCATCGAAGGGAGCAACTTTAGAGATACCCCAGAGAGCTCTTTTGATGTTTGTACAGAAATCACCACCTTTTACTTGTACTTTAAATCCTACTGTTGCTCGAACGAAATCGCCGACAACCTCGTCAGGTCCTGAGAAACAGAATTTCTCAGAGTCATGTTGGGGAAATAAAGAACGTTGCAATACAACACTTCCAAGATTTGAAAATTTTAATCAACTCTGAATTTTACAATTTATACTTCTAATATCTATTGTCAATATGGGCGCTAAAACTCCGTTTAGTTTCTAATTGATAAGTAAATGATATGTAATTGATAGGTAATTGATAAGTCATTGATAGGTGTACTTACGAACACACTGGGAAGAGGAGTCAGCACCATTAGCGGTAGTTGTAAATGGTCCTCGTCTATTTTCGTCCCAGCTCTCACAATCATTACACCTGAAAGAGAATGTGTAAAATGTTGAGAAATGTGTAAAATGTTGAGAAATGCATAGAATACTTTATCTTAGCACACTATAATCAGCGATTGTTTACACGGCATTAATTTTAAATATCTTTAATGATAATGCTTTTGGTATGTCTAATTACATTATCTACTTTTCTTTTGCAAGATGCACATCAAAATCTTAAATATCCAAAATATTTCCAGTTTGATCAATATTCGTGAGTACAGTCATCAGCTAGCCCATAGTGTATTTGAGTATTATATGCAAAATTTGACCGACAACTAGGCCTAATTATGTCAGGTTCCCACACAAAAACAGCATGCGTTAAATCACGTGATCAATTTCCCCACGGATTCTGTCAAGGTTGATCTTTGGATTAGTTGTTCTGTAGCCCAATATCGTGGAAATTATTTTAAAACTCAAAGTATAATATTTACTTTTTCCTCACGAACATGATAACATGATAAGCAATAGATCTGGAAATTAATTGGAAGGTGGCCTGGGCCACACTTGTTATGGCAATGAAAGTGGTTTTGATTGGTAGATGATGCAAGTTGGTAGTACCTATCACGTGTTAACGTTGTTGGTAATACCAGTCACTGCACGTGATAACCCGTAATGGTCTGGACCTAACCGCCAGTATCCAGATCTGTTCATTAAATATTTTGGTAGTGGTGCGAAAATGAATTGCTTTCATTTCCCTATTACCCGCAACCCCATCACGAGTGCAATCACATTCGAACATGGTGTAGAATATTTCAATCAAATTCACGGCAAAATATTGTTTTTCTTTATCACTTGGCAACCTATGGTGCTTCATCGGACAGTAGGTAGAGTTCATTGGCATTTACAGTGACGTAACGTTACCTCTTGTCACCCCCGGTCCCTCCCTCCTCTCCCCAATAAAATGTATGTTTTTAAATATACTACTTTATGTTTCGTTTTGGATGTAAGGATCTGCTCAATGTATGCGCCAATGCACAAACATTAATATCACCTTTATGCAATAAATGGCCTACCTGTGAAACTTAACAGGTAATTTAAAAAGTTAGAAAATAACGAATAATTGTTTAAGGGGGGGGGGGGGGGGGGGGGGGTTCACCCTGATTTTTTTGTGAAACTTGGTTTCGAGATAGCAGTTGACCAACAGACTAGGACCGGTGACCGAACTTTTGAGGGAGTCCCGGACCCCAACCGCCAAACAGTGCCCGCGGGGCAGCCACACCCATATTTGGTCCAAATTAGGCCCAATTTAGCCAAATAGCCTGAACATGCCCAAAAACCAGATTTTAGGTGCTTTACTTGTAGCTAGTGGTCCCCTGAACTCGTATATGAATTTTCATTATGATTGGACAAAAAATTACCGAGTTATGAGCCAAAAACATATGACCATATTTGGGCATACGCACCAAATTTGATCGATTTTGGCCCATAAATTGGTCAAATATCAATATTTTTGAATGAAACCAACTTTATATGGAAGGTTAGCCTATACTTCACATCTCTATGATTATTCAGCTCAGTATCTACCTAACTGTGGATTCTGTGTTTAAATAATCGCAAAAAATGAACAAAATCGTCCATATCTCAGTTCGCGATATTTGCGAAACTGATTTCGCTCAAAACAATAGAACTCAATAGGGTTAAAAAAATTTGGCGGCCAAATTCCAAAATTTGCCTGGAATTTTTCAGAATTTGGCCGCCAAATTAAAAAAAAAGCCTAACTCAAAATTCCAATACAAAACTTAAGGTCGAAATGCTATTCTACGTTGATTCTGAAAATTTCATGTAAAAATATTGAAACCCTATTGAGTTCTATTGTTTTGAGCGAAATATGGTCATATGGTTTTTGGCTCATAACTCAGTCATTTTTTGTCCAATATTAATGAAAATTCATATACGAGTTCAGGGGACCAATAGCTACAAGTAGAGCACCTAAAATCTGGTTTTTGGGCATGTTCCGGCTATTTGGCTAAATTGGGCCTAATTTGGACCAAATATGGGTGTGGCTGCCCCGCGGGCACCGATCGGCGGTTGGGGTCCAGGACCCCCTCAAAAGTTCGGTCACCGGTCCTAGTTTATTGGTCAACTGCTATCTAGAAACCAAGTTTCACAAAACCCCCCCCCCCCCCTTAACAAGGAATGGGTTATAAAGAGTCAGAGATCTGAGCGTTACGCTTTAATGACTTATCGTGCAATATTCGTTATTATTATATTGATTATGCGTGCCCTGACCACATCAGTAGGTGTTTGACACACAGTAAATCATTATTTTTTTTCTTAAAAGTAATTTCTATCACCTCACGGTTTGTTTTGTTATTAATCTTACGATTAATGATAAATCACAAACTTCTTCGCTTAAATATCTTTTTCAAATATTCTAGGTACTTGTCCGTTAAGATGATTGTTTTTGTACTAGAGTACTTAAATCTACTAAGCAAGCTGTCATGTGACAAGGACTGCCCAAATAGTAAGTTTTAAAAATAAGTTAAATTATAACGTTACTTACTCTGTAGTAAGTTTTTTAAATGAGTTAAATTATTTAAACGTTACTTACTAATTAATTAGTAATTAACATTACTTACCCTGTCATTCCAGTTTCGTTCGCAAATGTGCCAATTGGACATTTGAAACAATCGTCAACTCTGGCACCGTCAAAATTGTAGCATCCAAGTGGGCACTCGACTGAAACAAACAACTATCAGTGTCAAGTTAAAGACTAAAAGAGCAGTTTCACCGCTGTCTCACCACCTACGGTTACCTACGGTTACCACGGGCTGCATCACAATCAACACGGGACCCGTTTAAGGGGGCAGGGGGGGGTCTTTATGAAATTTCTCTCGAAATTGATTTTATAGTTGTTTCTAATAGAGGGGAGTGATATCTATCTGCTATTTTTGGTCCCATGGAAAAATATTGTTCCTAGCCGAAATTATTACCGGTCAAAGGTCAGTGCTCATGTGTAATTGTATTGCGCGAGCGATTTTCAATCGTGCGCCCTGAAAATCGAGTCTAAAAATCTATCTCCTCCTACATTTTTTGAGCAATCACCTTTAAACTTTCAGGATATGTTTTAAGGATCATTTAGAAACTTTTGCTCGTTTTAGAATTTCGAGATAGGCTTTTTAAAAATTTTTATTCGATTTTGAAAATCTTGGACCTCTTTTTTTTGACGATTTTTAAACTCTTAAAATATCTAATTAACATGGTTAAGTATCTAATTAACATCTACAACTCACCGCATTGATCACCATCTCCGACCATGTGTCCAGGTGGACATTTCCTGTCAGATTTGGGTGTTTCCCAGAAATCATCACTCTCAAGGTACTGGTCCATCTCGTTATCTCCGGTATCTGATGTAATAAAGTGTTAGATCAGACAAGGTCAATTATATGATAAGTTATCATAGATAACCATTCCAAAATATAAAGAGATTTCAACATTTAAGATTAGTTATGCAATGAGCACGTATCTGTTAGAATGGTATAGCTTTCTGAAGTTAATCTTTAAAATATTTTTAGTAGTTTTACTTTTTATTTTTTAGCTTCATTCTCAACTCTATTTTAATTATTTCATAAGGGTCTGAGCACTTCGTACAGTATTATAAAATTAGTTTGTATTGATAGTGCTACAAACTTGAAAAATACTGTAATCTATATTTCATCTTCCTATCCCAGTAATATATAACAATATGTGCCACGTTAAGTTTGAAACTTCAGTTGAGGCTAGATGTAATACGCTTAATGGTTTAAATAATTAATTAGTGTCCTACATTGATTTTAGTTACCTGTACTGTCATCTGTACTGTCATCTGTATTGTTATTTGGGAACACAATATCCATCTCAATACGACCAGAGTATTTCTCAGAATAACACGTGATATTGGTATTATTGTGACCTGCTCTGAACGAATCAATAAACCCTGCTATAATAGTTTCAACAGTTACATTTTGAGGGTCATTATTGTGTCTCCAGACATCTCTATAGAAACCGGCTCCTTCCCATGCCGCGACAGAAGGTCCGATCAGGTTATCATATCCTATTCCGTTAATTAACATTCTGAAGGAACTATCCTCCTCAGGGGCGACAACTGAACATGTTATAGAACTTGCTCCGCCAATATGAGCTTCAGAAGGTCTCGGCCCTCTGATGTGGAAAGCAACGTTCTGATTTGGGTCTGAAATTATAGATTTGGAATGGAACTCAAACCATGTGCATTTTTCTAGGCGAGCTTATAAGTTGATACTAATATTTTAAATCAATATTATTAATATTGATTCTTGAGCTTACACTAGCGACGTCTTATTTTGAAGAACCAGAGCTTTGATAGAATATTATTATAGCTTTCTAAAGTTAGATTTAAAATATTTTCAGAAGTTTTACGTTTCTTGTCCACTGGGTTTAGCTTCATTCTCGACCTTATTTTAATTATTTCATAAGGGTCTGAGCACTTCGTACAGTATTATAAAATCAGTCTGTATTGATAGTGATACAAACTTGAGAAACACTGTAATCTAGATTTCATCCTCCTATCCCAGTAATATATAACAATATGTCAATATGTGCCACGTTAAGTTTGAAACTTCAGTTGAGCTAGATGTGATACGCTTAATGGTTTAAATAATTAATTAGTGTCCTACATTGATTTTAGTTACCTGTACTGTCATCTGTACTGTCATCTGTATTGTTATTTGGGAACACAATATCCATCTCAATACGACCAGAGTATTTCTCAGAATAACACGTGATATTGGTATTATTGTGACCTGCTCTGAACGAATCAATAAACCCTGCTATGTAAGTTTCAACGGTTACATTTTGAGGGTCATTATCGTTTTTCCAGACCCATCTTTGGAAACCGGCTTCTGTCCATGCCGCGACAGAGGGCGTGGTCAGCATATCATATCCTATTCCGTTAACTAACATTCTGAAGGAACTATCTTCCTCAGGTGCGACAACTGAACATGTTATAGAACTTGCTCCGCCGATATGAGCTTCAGAAGGTGCCGGCCCTCTGATGTGGAAGTTAACGTTCTGATTTGGGTCTGAAATTATAGATTAGGAACTCAAACTGAAACCATGTGCATTTTTCTAGGCGAGCTTATAAGTTGATACTAATATTTTAAATCAATATTATTAATATTGATTCTTGAGCTTACACTAGCGACGTCTTATTTTTAAGAACCAGAGCTCTGATCATAGAATATTATTATAGCTTTCTAAAGTTAGATTTAAAATATTTTCAGAAGTTTTACGTTTCTTGTCCACTGGGTTTAGCTTCATTCTCGACCTTATTTTAATTATTTCATAAGGGTCTGAGCACTTCGTACAGTATTATAAAATTAGTTTGTATTGATAGTGATACAAACTTGAGAAACACTGTAATCTATATTTCATCCTCCTATCCCAGTAATATATAACAATATGTGCCACGTTAAGTTTGAAACTTCAGTTGAGGCTAGATGTGATACGCTTAATGGTTTAAATAATTAATTAGTGTCCTACATTGATTTTAGTTACCTGTACTGTCATCTGTACTGTCATCTGTATTGTTATTTGGGAACACAATATCCATCTCAATACGACCAGAGTATTTCTCAGAATAACACGTGATATTGGTATTATTGTGACCTGCTCTGAACGAATCAATAAACCCTGCTATGTAAGTTTCAACGGTTACATTTTGAGGGTCATTATCGTGTCTCCAGACATCTCTATAGAAACCGGCTCCTTCCCATGCCGCGACAGAAGGTCCGATCAGGTTATCATATCCTATTCCGTTAATTAACATTCTGAAGGAACTATCCTCCTCAGGCGCGACAACTGAACATGTTATAGAACTTGCTCCGCCAATATGAGCTTCAGAAGGTCTCGGCCCTCTGATGTGGAAAGCAACGGTCTGATTTGGGTCTGAAATTATAGATTTGGAATGGAACTCAAACCATGTGCATTTTTCTAGGCGAGCTTATAAGTTGATACTAATATTTTAAATCAATATTATTAATATTGATTCTTGAGCTTACACTAGGGACGTCTTATTTTGAAGAACCAGAGCTCTGATAGAATATTATTATAGCTTTCTAAAGTGAGATTTAAAATATTTTCAGAAGTTTTACGTTTCTTGTCCACTGGGTTTAGCTTCATTCTCGACATTATTTTAATTATTTCATAAAGGTCTGAGCACATCGTACAGTATTATAAAATATTGATAGTGATACAAACTTGAGAAATACTGTAATCTATATCTCATCCTCCTATCCCAGTAATATATAACAATATGTCAATATGTGCCACGTTAAGTTTGAAACTTCAGTTGAGGCTAGATGTAATACGCTTAATGGTTTAAATAATTAATTAGTGTCCTACATTGATTTTAGTTACCTGTACTGTCATCTGTACTGTCATCTGTATTGTTATTTGGGAACACAATATCCATCTCAATACGACCAGAGTATTTCTCAGAATAACACGTGATATTGGTATTATTGTGACCTGCTCTGAACGAATCAATAAACCCTGCTATAATAGTTTCAACAGTTACATTTTGAGGGTCATTATCGTTTGTCCAGACATCTCTATAGAAACCAGCTTCTTTCCATGCCGCGACAGAAGGTCCGATCAGGTTATCATATCCTATCCCGTTAATTAACATTCTGAAGGAACTATCCTCCTCAGGGGCGACAACTGAACATGTTATAGAACTTGCTCCGCCAATATGAGCTTCAGAAGGTCTCGGCCCTCTGATGTGGAAAGCAACGTTCTGATTTGGGTCTGAAATTATAGATTTGGAATGGAACTCAAACCATGTGCATTTTTCTAGGCGAGCTTATAAGTTGATACTAATATTTTAAATCAATATTATTAATATTGATTCTTGAGCTTACACTAGGGACGTCTTATTTTGAAGAACCAGAGCTCTGATAGAATATTATTATAGCTTTCTAAAGTGAGATTTAAAATATTTTCAGAAGTTTTACGTTTCTTGTCCACTGGGTTTAGCTTCATTCTCGACCTTATTTTAATTATTTCATAAGGGTCTGAGCACATCGTACAGTATTATAAAATATTGATAGTGATACAAACTTGAGAAATACTGTAATCTAGATTTCATCCTCCTATCCCAGTAATATATAACAATATGTCAATATGTGCCACGTTAAGTTTGAAACTTCAGTTGAGGCTAGATGTAATACGCTTAATGGTTTAAATAATTAATTAGTGTCCTACATTGATTTTAGTTACCTGTACTGTCATCTGTACTGTCATCTGTATTGTTATTTGGGAACACAATATCCATCTCAATACGACCAGAGTATTTCTCAGAATAACACGTGATATTGGTATTATTGTGACCTGCTCTGAACGAATCAATATACCCTGCTATAATAGTTTCAACAGTTACATTTTGAGGGTCATTATTGTGTCTCCAGACATCTCTATAGAAACCGGCTCCTTCCCATGCCGCGACAGAAGGTCCGATCAGGTTATCATATCCTATTCCGTTAACTAACATTCTGAAGGAACTATCCTCCTCAGGTGCGACAACTGAACATGTTATAGAACTTGCTCCGCCAATATGAGCTTCAGAAGGTGCCGGCCCTCTGATGTGGAAGTTAACGTTCTGATTTGGGTCTGAAATTATAGATTTGGTACTCAAACTCAAACCATGTGCATTTTTCTAGGCGAGCTTATTAGTTGATACTAATGTTTTAAATCAATATTATAAATATTGATTCTTGAGCTTACACTAGCGACGTCTTATCTTGAAGAACCAGAGCTCTGATAGAATATTATTATAGCGTTTAGAGTTAACTTAAAAATATTTCCAGTAGTCTTACACTAAGTCTTCTTGTCCACTAGTTTTAGCTTCATTCTGAACCCTATTTTAATTTTTTCATAAGGGTCTGAGAACTTCGTACAGTATTATAAAATTAGTTTGTATTGATTATGATAGTTATACAAACTAAAAAAAACCACTGTAATCTAGATTTCATCCTCCTATCCCAGTAATATATAACAATATGACAATATATGCCACGTTAAGTTTGAAACTTCAGTTGAGGCTAGATGTAATACGCTTAATGGTTTAAATAATTAATTAGTGTCCTACATTGATTTTAGTTACCTGTACTGTCATCTGTACTGTCATCTGTATTGTTATTTGGGAACACAATATCCATCTCAATACGACCAGAGTATTTCTCAGAATAACACGTGATATTGGTATTATTGTGACCTGCTCTGAACGAATCAATATACCCTGCTATAATAGTTTCAACGGTTACATTTTGAGGGTCATTATTGTTTGTCCAGACATCTCTATAGAAACCGGCTTCTTTCCATGCCGCGACAGAGGCCGTGGTCAGTAGATCATATCCTATTCCGTTAACTAACATTCTGAAGGAACTATCCTCCTCAGGTGCGACAACTGAACATGTTATAGAACTTGCTCCGCCAATATGAGCTTCAGAAGGTGCCGGCCCTCTGATGTGGAAGTTAACGTTCTGATTTGGGTCTGAAATTATAGATTTGGTACTCAAACTCAAACCATGTGCATTTTTCTAGGCGAGCTTATTAGTTGATACTAATGTTTTAAATCAATATTATAAATATTGATTCTTGAGCTTACACTAGCGACGTCTTATCTTGAAGAACCAGAGCTCTGATAGAATATTATTATAGCGTTTAGAGTTAACTTAAAAATATTTCCAGTAGTCTTACACTAAGTCTTCTTGTCCACTAGTTTTAGCTTCATTCTGAACCCTATTTTAATTTTTTCATAAGGGTCTGAGAACTTCGTACAGTATTATAAAATTAGTTTGTATTGATTATGATAGTTATACAAACTAAAAAAAACCACTGTAATCTAGATTTCATCCTCCTATCCCAGTAATATATAACAATATGACAATATATGCCACGTTAAGTTTGAAACTTCAGTTGAGGCTAGATGTAATACGCTTAATGGTTTAAATAATTAATTAGTGTCCTACATTGATTTTAGTTACCTGTACTGTCATCTGTACTGTCATCTGTATTGTTATTTGGGAACACAATATCCATCTCAATACGACCAGAGTATTTCTCAGAATAACACGTGATATTGGTATTATTGTGACCTGCTCTGAACGAATCAATATACCCTGCTATAATAGTTTCAACGGTTACATTTTGAGGGTCATTATTGTTTGTCCAGACATCTCTATAGAAACCGGCTTCTTTCCATGCCGCGACAGAGGCCGTGGTCAGTAGATCATATCCTATTCCGTTAACTAACATTCTGAAGGAACTATCCTCCTCAGGTGCGACAACTGAACATGTTATAGAACTTGCTCCGCCAATATGAGCTTCAGAAGGTGCCGGCCCTCTGATGTGGAAAGTAACGTCCTGATTTGGGTCTGAAATTATAGATTTGGAACTTAAACTCAAACCATGAATTTTTCTAGACGAGTTTGTAAGATGATAATGATATTGATTTTTGGGCTTACACTAGCGATGTCGTATCCCCGTCGTATCGTAAGGAACCAGAACTTGAAGCTAATAAATTTACTTCGCAGTAAACCAATTCAGTTCGCAGTAAACCAATTCAGTTCGCAGTAAACCAATTCAGTTCGCAGTAAACCAATTCAGTTCGCAGTAAACCAATTCAGTTCGCAGTAAACCAATTCAGTTCGCAGTAAACCAATTCAGTTCGCAGTAAACCAATTTGTACAGTTCGCAGTAAACCAATTTGTATTTGCACTGTTTTTTAGCTCGCTTATCAGTGATCGTTATCAGTGAAAGTGTTACTCGCCACGTCGACTTTCAACAGCGCCGACTGTGTAGCATGGATTTTTCAGTGGACCGGCTCAACGCGATGGACCATGAGATGACATCAGAAATTCAGAAAATATTCAAGGTTGCCAATGTTTCATGTAGATCTGACTTTACTGAGACCGCTTTAATGAAACTTAACAAAAATCCACTCGTCAAAATCATCGGCAGCTTAATGAAATTGGCGGAGAAGAATATTGAACTTTGTAAAAGTGCTGCTGGGAAAATTGATGTCATGAAATCGGAGAAAATAGCGGATCAGAAACTAATTATTGAAACTCAACAAGGACAGATGAATTCAGTTCAGGAGACAGTTAAATCAGAAATGAAAAGTTGGACGGATGTTGTCAAGAAAAACACTGCTCAGCGTCCTAGCGGGAAACCTTTAACAGAAAACTCTATCAAACAAGCCGTCAGGACTGTAAATGAAGAGAAGAAACGATCGAAGTACTTGATGATCTACGGTTGCCATGAAAGTGATAAAGAAGCCGATTTTGAGCTCAACAAAGTTGTCAAGGACATACTTTACGGAACTGACGCTTTCCCCGTGCTCCGCACTGGTGAGGTCTACAGAATCGGAAGGAAGGAACCGGGTAAGAATAGGCCTATCAAGGTCGAATTTGGTTGTGCCAGTGAGGTAGACTTGATTTTGATGCGTGCACGAAACCTCAGAGACAGTGACTCTTTCAAACATGTTTATTTGGGACCGGACAGAACCAAAGAGGAACAGCTTGCGCATAGTAAACTTGTTAAGGAGATGAAACAGATGATCCAGAAAGACTCAAATAAACATTATTTCATACGCGACAGAAAGATCTGCACGGCTGATAAAACCTTATCATCTCAAACGTCCCAAAGCTCCTGATAAGAGTTAATGTATGATGTATGTTGAGTGTTATTTGGTGCTGACTGGAGTTGCCGTGTGTAGATTTACCACTTTTTACAATTAATAAATGAACCGCGTTGAAAGCTTATTTAGCGTGTTTTTTTCAGTGCTGAGACTGGTAAATGTTAAAGTAACAGAACCTGAACTGCAACTCATATTTTTATGCTATTTTCTAGTTACGTCGACACACAAGGCTAAATAGTTT